AAAATTATGAATGTAAGTAACTGATAATACTTTAAAACGCCAGAGAACTTCTTTTTAACAATATTTTGGAATATAAATAAAATATAGTCCATAAAAAATAAAAATGTTATTCATTTTAACATGAGTTATATTTGTTTTATATTTATGAAATTTTTGAATGTCTAATGAATGTTTAAATAGTCAAAGAATTATATACATACATTTCATTTTAAAATAACTTTTAATTTGAAGTTCACTTTAAGAAATTTTAATTATAAGCCGATTTCTCTCTTTGCGTCAGGAAGCAAACTATATACTTAAAATCCTCTCAGTTGTTAAAAAAAGAACTAAATTATATATTTTTTCGAACTGTGAAAAAGTACCACTATTTAAGGACTTCATCTATACTTCCTCATGGATTAAATTAATTTTTTCAACTACGCAAAAACTTTGAAAGACTAAAAATTCGCTAAAAAGAGTATCTAACTCTTTGTCTCGTAACCAAACTCTTTTACAATGTGTGAAAAAAGAATTGTAATTCATAGGAAAATTTGTTGTTATTAAACTGAAAGTTATTTTCGAGATAACTAACAACACGGGACCAAATTAATTTAAGCTCCATCATATCGCAACTGGTACGTAATGACCCGATGATATTCCCGTTAAACGATTGATATTTTTGTTATATTAATTTCTTGGGAATATCAAATATTATCTGAAACATGTCAACTATAATTTTATTATTTTCTTCACGGAGGGAAAAAAATTTTAGAATTAAAAAGACACGTGCTAAATTAAAAAAAATACGCCTATGAAAGAGCGCCACCCAACTTGTTTTAAATTTGAGTATGTACGTTATAAAATATGTCGTTGTGAAGTGCTCAGATGCCTTTTCGTAATTAAGAAGAAAAAAATTTAATTTTATGTTCCGTCTAATGGTAATTAAACCTGGACCCTTTTGGGCGCAACCAATTGTATCAAGCGTCTTTGCATACTCAGCTACAGCCATACTTGTAAATTAGTCTGTTCCAATAGCAGTCCGGTTTACAGGATTTCGTCAGAACTTACAGGAAGTCGTTCCTATTGCCATAAAACATGTAAGTGGGAACACTTTTGAGAGAGCAACTGAGCAACTGCTCCTAGTCAGAAGTTACAGGATTTAGTCTGGAGATTTTTTCCAGTAAGTTCATGAAAAGTGTCAAACGATCACCTGATTTGCATGTGCAAACAAAAACAAAAAGCGGTGAAAGCAAAGAACCTTATATTTGTAAAAAAAAATGGAAGTAAACAACGAAATATTTGAATATGTACACATTTTAATAATTAGTTAGTGATATTTCAGCCAAATCAGTGTTGTACAAATGACATGTAAACAAACCGACTGACGTTTTTACAGGAAATAGTGCTTTTTGCGTTCCTATTCACTTCTGCATCTGTTCTCCTTTTACTCTCATTTGAGAGCGTAAAATTGTAGTTTGACAGTTCCACAGGTTTTAGTCCGAATTTCAAAGGAACAGACTAAATGAGTTTTCAAATGTTGAGTTTGAATCAACATCACAGCGCGCGATTAGTGCATTATGTCATACCATGTATGTGTGTATGTGTTGTCACCGCTGTGCATGCTTTGGCACCCTGAAATTGTGCATATGGAAACTGTGCATACGAAATAATGCATATGAAAAAACCCGAAATAATGCAAACATATATGCACAGTTTCGGTTGAAACCCGAAATAATGCATATAAAAAAAACCGAAATAATGCATATTGCACAGTTTCGGTTGAAAACCGCAATAATGCATATTAGAAAAAACGAAATTATGCATATGCCCTCTTTCGTTTGAAAACCGAAATAACGCATATGAAAACAAGTAAGAAAGTCTAAGTTCGGGCGGAGCCGAACATTAAATACCCGGCGCAAATATTAAATATATGATTTTCACCTTTCTGAAAGCTACCGCTACATGGTAAGCCGGGATGTATCAATTTCAATATTGACGTTTAAAGCATTTCTAAAATTTACCGTTATATGAAAAGCCATAATTTTAGTCCGATTTCAATAATTTTCATCGTTTTGCTTTTATGTAGCAAGCACAATAAAAATACCGAGTTTGGTACAAATTGGTAGAACGGTTACCGAGATACATATATGTGATCATAAGTGGGCGGTGCCACGCCCATTTTTCAAAATTTTATTGTAGACGTATTTCCTGGTAAGGAATTGTTGCAAGCATCAATTTTGAATAAATTGGCTTTAATATTTACTGATTTATCGAAGATTTCGTATTTCTCCAAATTACCGTTATATGAGATGTGGGCGTGGTTATTGTCCGATTTTAAAACTTTTCGGCCATTTGGTATCCTGTACCAAGGCCAATAACTGTGCCAAGTTTGGAAGAAATCGGTGCAGCGGTTGCCAAGATATACACATGTAACCATAAGTGGGCGTGGCTACGCCCATTTTCCAAAAATTTATAACATATTATTTTTCGTCTAAAAATTGTTGTAAATATACATTTTGAGTGAATAATCTTCAGTAGTTACTAAAATATCGCAATTTTCGTATTTCCGAAAATTACCGTTATATGGGATGTGGGCGTGGTTATTTTCCGATTTTTTTAATTTTCGGCGATTTAGTATGCTGTATCAAGGCCAACAACTGTGCCAAGTTTGGAAGAAATTGGTGCAGCGGTTACCAAGATATACACATGTAACCATAAGTGGGCGTGGCTACGCCCATTTTCCAAAAATTTATAACATTCTTATTTTTCGTCTAAAAATTATTGTAAATATCAATTTTGAGTTAATAATCTTCAGTAGTTACTAAAATATCGCAGTTTTCGTATTTCTGAAAATTACCGTTATATGGGAGGTAGGCGTGGTTATTGTCCGATTTTTCCCATTTTCAATACCATCCGTCCTACGCCCGAAAGAAGTACACGTACCAAGTTTCGTTAAGATATCTTAATTTTTACTCGAGTTATCGTGTGCACAGACGGACGGACGGACGGACGGACGGACGGACAGACAGTCACCGCTTAATCGATTTCTCTTTTCATCCTGATCATTTATGTATACATTTGTCTATATCTATCTCGATTCGTTTTGCCTGTTACAAACAACCGTTATGTGAACAAAGTTATAATACCCTTGTGCACAAGTGCGCTCGGGTATAAAAACCGAAATAATGCATATATGCACAGTTTCGGTTGAAAACCGAAATAAGGCATATGAAAAAACCGAAATAATGCATACATGCACACTTTCGATTGAAAACCGAAATAACGCATATGAGAAAAACGAAGTAATGCATACA